GCTTTGTTCTGGGATACAATTAAGCTACTGGTAACAGTTCCTTTCCAGGCTTGCTGTTCAGTTTTGTTAGGCAGGACCAGAGCAGTCTTCACTCTGAGGCTAATTTTTCTCCACTTCCTTGTGAAGTTTTTCCACTCTGGCAGGTGGGAACAAGTATTTCCAACCTGGTGTGAGCTCGGAGGCTTGTTCCCTCTGTTCCTTTCAAGTGGCTCTATCCCTGGCCTCTGCATGCGTGTAAACCCATCAGTCCTCGGACTCTCAAAAGATCTCTGGATCAACTTCTAGATTGATCTCTCTCTCTCTTCCTCCCTCTCTCTCCCTCTCTCTTCCTCTCTCCCTCTCTACACACTCTCTCTACCTCCCTCCCTCCTCCCCTTCCCCTCCCCCCTCCTCTCCCTCCCCCTACCTCCTCTTCCCCCCAGGGTACCTCCTGTCCACGACTCCACTCTGCAAACTGTAGCCTTCTTACACTTTCTAGAACCTCAGCTTTGACTCCTCATCTCCACATCTGAAAACTGTTATTTTACACATTTTGTCTATTTTTTTTCCACTTATGCCATATTAGGCAGGAAAAGTCACTTTGGATGTTTTTTTTAAAGGAAACACATTAATGTTTTAAAATATAATTTAACATTGTTATTTTTTCTAGTTTCTTCTATTGTTTTATTTTTTCTCCCTATGACATGGGTACTACTGTTCACCCATTTACAGATGAAGGAGCTAAAGCACAGAGAGGTTGAGTGACTTACCCAGGGTCACCCAGCCAGGGAGTGAGGGGAGGGGAGGGAGAACAAACCTGGTCACCTGGCTTTAGAGGCTCCACCCCTGATTCCTACCCTCCACCATCCATGCAATTAAGAGCTGCCTTTTTCCTTTTTTAAAAAATTGAGATGAACTTGCATAGTATAAAACTAACTATTTTAAAGTGTACAAATCAGTGGCATTTATTACATTCACAGTGTTGTCCAACCACCACCTCTATTTAATTCCAGAACATTTTTGTCATCCAAAAAGGAAATCCTGTCCCCGTTAGCAGTCACTCCCCATCCCCAGTCCCCAAGCCCCTGGCAACCATTGATCTGCTTTCTGTCTCTATGGATTTGCCTGTTCTGGTCATATCACATAAACAGAGTCATATAATATGTGACCTTTTGTGTCTGGCTTTTTTCATGCAGCATGATGTTTTCAAGGTTCATCCACATTGTAGCATGTGTCAGTGCTTCATTCCTTTTCATGGCTGAGTAATATTCCACTGTATGGATGGACCACATTTTGTTTATATCCTTTCATCCAGTGATGGATACTTCGGCTGCTGCAAATAGTGAGGAGCTACTTTTAAATGTAGGAAAGGATGAAAAGGAAAGGGTTCACAGCCAGCAGTGAGTCCAAACCCCCACTTACAGTTAAGAAAAACAAGGCACCCTCAGGAGGGTCGGGTACTTGCCCAGGCTCACCTGGGTCTGTATTTGTTCTCAGTCCAAGCTTGAACTGCTCACTTGTTCAGCCGACATTCACCAGCACCTAATGTGTGCACATCTTGGGCCGTGGCCATGACATTGACCTTTGGGACTGAGAGAGCATGTAAAGCAGGCTGGGCATCCAGAATGTCTTCTTGGGAGGCTGAGACATGAAGGCTAAGGAGTCAACTGACCAGAAAGTGACGGGAAGAACATTCTAAGTGGAGGGAATAGCCAGTGCAAAGGCCCTGAGGCAGGAGTGAGTCTGGTATGTGGGAGACTGTTTTGGGGGAAGTGAGCAAAAGGGGGACAAAGGGAGAGGAGGGCAGCATCCCGACCCCTCAGGGCATCGTGGGCTATGGTGGGGAGTTAAGATTTTTATTCTGAGCATGGCAGGAGCCACAGCAGAGCGGAAGCAGGGAAAGGCTGTGTTGTGATTTTAGATGCTGCCTTGGGGGACAGGAGGCTGGGGCAGTGCTGGGGAGGAGATGAGGCTTGATCTCCAAATCAATTTGCCAAAACAAAACTTGGGTGTATCCAACGAATGTCAAGCAAACAGTGGTGTATAACATCCTATTATTTTTAAGGTGTGGCCATTCAAAATAATCACTCCGGGCGTGCAGCGTGCACAAACAGGGTGAATATTGATAAAATCACGGGAATGGAAACAGGGAGCACAGATCTAAAACCTCCAGCGCTTCCCAGGGGTTTGATGGTGTAAAAAACAATATGGTCAGGTAGGAATCATGGTTGTGTGCCAGCGAACACCAGGCCTGCCTCGTCTCTGAATCCATAAACCCTTGAAGAAAGTCCCCTCTGATTCCCGTCACCACAGTCCAGGGAGTTGAGAAGACAAAGGAGCATGAAGAATAAAAATATTAGTGACTAAGAAAAATGATTGTGGGAGAAATTAAATATTTTACAAAGTTTTGTCTTTAGTGTCTTTTAAAATAGATTTCACATAAAATATAACCACCCTCCCCCGCCAGCCCTCTACCCATCAGTATCTGCAGCTCACCGTGTAACACGTTTGGGGAGCAGGTTTGCGCTCTGCCCTCTTCTGTCCTGTAGGGAGGGCTTCCTGATGTCACGCGTAACTGGGCTTAGCAAAAGGGCTGGGGTCCCAGATCCTGGTGTTGGCATTTGAGACTCCCCCCGCACACACACCTGCCTCGCCCCACCTACCCTCCAGATGTCCTTGTCTCCAGGTGACCTCTTTGGGGAGCAATTTGGAATTATCTATCAGTGAGGAAAGACCTGCTGTTCCAGGCATCGGATACTCTCCAGAGCAACTACAGTCAGTGGGGCACAGATTTGGGATAGTGTGGGTATAGCAAGGTCAAGGCATCCAGAGAAAGAAATCCTGCAGCCGCTGCAGGAGATGCAAGAACTCACCTCTAGGGACTTCCCTGGTGGTCCAGTGGTTAGGATTCCACACTTTCACTGCCGTGGGCCTGGGTTCAGTTCCTGGTCAGGGAACTAAGATCCCACAAGCCGTGCAGCGTGATTAAAAAAAAAAACAAAGATAAGAGCTCACCTCTAGTGAATTTGGCAAGGCCAGATGCGAAAACTTCTTTGCCTGGGACCTGCCCATAGAACTCTGTAACATCCGCCAGTGGTAGCATGTCCAAATTACTGCATGAGATCTGAGAATAATATGAAACAGCCTGACCGATAATCATGATTTGGGGTATGAATTTTACCATGAAGAATGCTCAGTTTTTGATACTGAGCTGAAGCCTTCATCCCTGAACGTCTCTGCTCACCCCTGGACGCCAGAGCTGCCAGGATCATCACTCCTCCGGGAAAGTTGGTTCTGGGTCTGCTGTGCTCTGGGTTGTGGGCCATCTGGGGGAAGGAGGCCCAGTGATGGGCTCTGCCACATTGAGAATCTGAGGAAAGCATCCGTGTTTCCCCAGAAAAGTACGCATGCGGTGATCCATCATAGCCCTTTTTTCCCCAGATATATATTTATATATGCATATATATGTATGTACTTATGTATACATATTCTTTTTCAGATTTTTTCCATTATAGGTTATTACAAGATAGTGAATATAGTTCCCTGTGCTGTACAGTAGGTCCTTGTTGGTTATCTATTTTGTACATAGTAGTGTGTATCTGTTAATCCCAAACATCTAATTTATCCCTCCCCGCCCTTTCCCCTTTGATAACCGTCAGTTTGTTTTCTGTGTCTGTGAGTCTGTCTCTGTTTTGTAAATAAGTTCATTTGTATCAATTTTTTTTAGATTCCACATATAAGTGATATCATATGGTATTTGTCTTTCTCTGCTTGACTGGCTTCACTTGGTATGATAATCTCTAGGTCTATCCATGTTGCTGCAAATGGCATTATTTCACTCTTTTTTAAAAAAAATATTAATTTTGGCTGTGTTGGGTCTTTGTTGCTGCGTGCAGGCTTTCTCTAGTTGCAGCGAGCGAGGGCTACTCTTCGTTGCAGTGTGTGGGCTTCTCATTGCAGTGTCTTCTCTTGTTGCGGAGCACAGGCTATAGGCACGTGGGCTTCAGTAGTTGTGGCACGTGGGCTCAGTAGTTGTAGCTTGTGGGCTCAGTAGTTGTGGCTCGTGGGCTCAGTAGTTGTGGCTTGCAGGCTCTAGAGTGCAGGCTCAGTAGTTGTGGTGCACAGGCTTAGCTGCTTCACCCCATGTGGGATCTTGCCGGACCAGGGCTTGAACCCATGTCCCCTGCATTGGCAGGCAGATTCTTAACCACTGTGTCACCAGGGAAGTCCCTATTTCACTCTCTTTTGTGGCTGAGTAATATTCCATTTATATATATATCACATCTTCTTTATCCATTCATCTGTTGATGGACATTTAGGTTGCTTCCACGTCTTGGCTATTGTAAATAGTGCTGCTATGAACGTTGGGGTCATCATAGCCCATTTTTGTTTATAATTCATGATGTTCTTAAACCCCTTCATTCCTGAGATGGTTAGAGGCTCCCTAAGGAGTTGGATCCATCTGTAAATATATGTCGAGACCCTGCTATCTACCATGCACCAAGTCTATAAATAATTCTTAACAGGTGTAACAAAGGGAGAGCGTAATAACAAACAACAAAAATAATAGTAGTAATGGTAGTCAACATTATTCGAGTCCCTACAGTATGCCAAACATTGCTTGGAACTCTTTATCGTGAATTAGTTCCTCCATTTGTTATAACTACCTTGTGAAGTAAGTACTTTATTATCCCTATTTTACAGATGAGGAAACTGAGGCACAGAGAGGTTAAGTGACTTGCCCAAGTCACTGCCCTTCCCCCCACAGGCAGGGTTCAAATCCAGGAGACTAGCCTCAGAGGCCATGGTATCATGCTGCTGCCTACGGAGATGCTGAGAGAGTGGGTGGGGAAGGGGCTGAGGGAGGAGCTTTGGGATAGGCCAGCACATGTGCCTTCCTGCTCTGCACAGTGAGTCAGGAACCCCGCCTGTCTTCTGAGGATAGGTCACTCTGTCCCCAGGGATCTAGTTATCCCTACAGCCCTGACCTAATGCCACATTTCCTCTGCTCTTGCTCCCAGGAGCTGGAGAAGCTGGGGCTCGGTGACAGCGTGGACCTGCATGTGTATGAGATTCCAGTGGAGTACAAGACAGTCCAGAGGCTCATCCCCGCTCTGTGGGAGAAGCACAGTCCACAGGTAAATGGGGCAAAGATGAGTGGGGTAAAGGTAGGTGCCTCCCCATCAGGACCTGCAGGTGGGTGCCCCACACATGGCTGGCTTGTGTGACTTTGTTCCTGCTCTGATCACATGGCTGATGCCACAGCCTTATTTCCTAAAGTGCCGCACTTTCCTGGGTTACCCTTAGAGGTGAGGGAGGAAAGCAAACTTCTGGAACTTCACAGAGCCTGGTTCTGTCCCACTTGAGTTCTGTATCAGTCATGACCTCTTAGGTTATAAGTGACAGTCAAATCACACCTCAACCCAGCTTGAGCACAAATGTTGGTACGCTTTAGGTATAGCTTGATTCAGGTGCTCACCCAATGTCATCAGCCTCCTCTCTTGACCACGCAGCTTTGCTTTGCTTTCCACTTTGCTTTTGCTTTGGCGAAGACAGGTGGTTGCGGGCTGATATCCTCCCAACTCAGCCGCTCAGCAGAAAGAGAACACCTCTCCTCCAAATAATTCCCCGAAGTCTATGGCTGATTCTCATTGGCTGGCTCGGGTCACAGGCCGGTCCCTGAGCCAATCACTATGGTTGGGGAAGAAGGAATGCTCTGATTTGTGAAGCCTGAGTCCCACATGCCCACTCCGGTGGCCAGAGGGTGGTGTCACCTCTCTCCAAACCTCCTAGAATGAGAAGAAGTGGAGGGTGGTCCACAAAGGGAAAATAGCTGTGGGAGGGAGCTGTGGGTTTAACCCGACGTGACGGAATGGAGGCCAGACAGGCAGGAACCACACCCTCCCACAGAGGTAGTTTTGGCCCAGCCAAGACCTTGGGCAGGAGCCATCTGGGAACTTACCTGGGCTGGTATCTCTGACAAGTGCAGTCCCAGTGCCCTTTGTGGGGGCCTCACTCAGCTTCCGACCCTAGCCTGCTGTTTCAGATTCTCCAGGGCTGGCTGGAGGCATCTTCCTTTCTAAGAAGCCCTCTCATTGCACCTCAAGTAGAATTTGTCCCGTAAGGGGTGGGTGGGTGGGATAAATTGGGAGGTTGGGATTAACATACACACACTACTATATATAAAAGAGATAACTAATAAGGACCTACTGTATAGCATAGGGAACTCTACTCAATACTCTGTAATGGCCTATATGGGAAAGTAATCTAGAAATGAGTGGATATATGTATAACTGATTCACTTTGCTGTACACCTGAAACACAACATTGTAAATCAACTATACTCCAATAAAAAAATTTTTTTTTGAATGTGGCTACTTTCTTATTTTTATTATTGTAATTAATGAAGTTCTGTGTTCTAAGGTACACATTACACTTTGTATCCATGGACCCTTCTTGATACATAAAAGTATCATCAAGTATGTAAAAAACAAAAAGGTCAGGCAATAATGCAAAAATAGGACAGTAAAAACAATATGATATTCACTTTTGTTTCCTTTAAAACAGAAGTGTTCTTAACAATTGCTTGCTGTTGGCTCACAGAACTAGAGAATGTATATTAGAACATCTGTACTAAGAACAATGATCTTCCTTGGCTGTTACTGTGATAAGAAGCAATAAGCCATATAATTTACAAGAAGAAAGCTAATGAATCCTTCAGAAAACACAACCTGGCAGTTTATCTTCAGTGCAAAATAATAAGGTGGCAGGAGTGTGTAGAGAAACAAGTCTTGGAGAACATCCTGTAGGGAATCCAGCTGTGCTTGTATGGTCACAAGCTTGTTATAGAAATCAAACAATTCCTTGTGACTGAATTCCACAAGAACTTTCTTCAGCCTCTTTGACTCTTCATTGCTCACTCCTAGCTGTAACACAGCTTGAGGAGATTTTAGTTTTGCTTGGGCAGAGTGAGCCATCTGAAGGTTAAGCTGCCATCCGACCGTCTCCAGCTTGTGGGGTGCAAGAATCCCCTGCCTGAATTTTTCAATTGTTTCTTGACCCGTAGACGACCAAGCATTGACAAATGCTTCTGCTTTGTCTTGTCTAAGATGAATGTTCTCTAACTGCTGCCACAAAGCAGCTGGCTTCACGTTGTGATATACTGCCTGTTCTAAAATGAATGATACCGTTGCAAGGACTAGGTGAAGATCTTGTCTCTCTAGAGAAAATGCAGCTCGAAGTCTTTCTTCCTCTTATACACTGAAACTACTCTCAGCCTTCAGGTGAAGTTTGTGAAGAATTGGGGTGAGCAATCGTGGAAGTCTTCCTATATCTATTTCATTTATCAGCGACACTGGTTTTTCATGCTGGGGCTCTCCTGCAGAATCAGTGCCGTGGATGCCGCCATCCTCGAAGCTCCCTCAAAAATTGTTTTAAAAAATTAGAATCTGGGGGCTTCCCTGGTGGCGCAGTGGTTGAGAATCTGCCTGCCGATGCAGGCGACACGGGTTCGAGCCCTGGTCTGGGAAGATCCCACATGCCGTGGAGCAACTGGGCCCGTGAGCCACAACTGCTGAGCCTGCGCGTCTGGAGCCTGTGCTCCGCAACAAGAGAGGCCGCGACAGTGAGAGGCCCGCGCACCGCGATGAAGAGTGGCCCCCGCTCGCCGCGACTAGAGAAAGCCCTCGCGCAGAAACGAAGACCCAGCACAGCCCAAAATAAATAAATAAATAAATTTATTAAAAAAAAAAAATTAGAATTTGTCCCTTTTTACAGAGGGGGACCTGGAGGCTCCGTGAGATGTGACTGAAGGTTCTGTGAATGAGCTTTTCCCTCTACTGTCTATATAGTCCTGCCTTATTCTAGTTAAAAAGAAAACCTAAGGGATGAACATGTCTTAAAAATGTCTCACTATATAGAAAGGAATAAAGAAGAAAGATTTGGGGTCCAGGCTGCTACTGATGAGCTGTGAGGTCTCAGGGAAGCTTCTTGGGCTCCCCGTGCCTCAGTTTCCTCCTGTGACAGGTGGAAATAATAATAGGAATCAACCAAGCACAGATCAAAAATATTTGAAAAAAAATTCCAGAGAATTCCCTGGTGGTCCAGTGGTTAGAACCCCATGCTTCCACTGCTGGGGCCCCGGGTTTAATCCCTGGTTGGGGGACTAACATCCAGTAAGCTGTGCAGTGCAGAATAAATAAATAAATAAATAAACAAATTCAGAAAGTTCCAAAAAGCAAAACTTGAATTTGCCTTGAGCTGGCAGCTATTTATTTATATAACATTTGCATTCTATTAGGTATCATGAGCAATCTAGAGATGATTTGAGGTATACAGGAAGATGTGCAGTAGGTTATATGAAAATACTACGCCATTTTAGATAAGAGACTTGAGCATCCCCAGATGTTGTTATCCGAGGGAGGAGGAGGGGAACCTGGAACCAATCTCCTGTGGATACCGAAGCGAGGGGTGACTGAAGTCACTAAAATTCTACCACCCAATTCCAGTGCGTGGGTGGGGTTATCCCCACACCAAGCAATTCTTGGAGAGCGGCTGTGGGTCCTACAATTCAACTCAATTCTGACACTACCTACCCAGAGATAGAATCGCATTCCACAGGGTAAGGGCTCCATCCCACAGGACTGCCCTCCACTTCGGATGCCAATCTTTTTTTTTTTTTTTTTGGAAGTATAGTTGATTTACAATGTTGTGCTAATTTCTGCTGTGCAGCAAAGTGATTCAGTTATACATATACATACATCCTTTTTTTAATATTCTTTTCCATTATGGTTATCACAGGATATTGAATATAGTTCCCTGTGCTCTACAGTAGGACCTTATTGTTTATCCATTATATATAAAATAGTTTGCAGATGCCAATCTTAAGTCTAGGTTGTTACCTGTGCTTCTGTCCAACTGGCTATAAATCAGGGGTTCCCACGACCCCTTCCTTGGGTTCCATTAATTTGCTAGAGCAGCGCACAGAACCCAGGAACCCCATTTACTCACTGGATTACCGGTTTATTATAAAAGCATATAACTCAGGAACAGCCAGCCAGATGAAAGAGATGCTTAGGACAATGTATGCTTTGTCCTATGCCCTCCGGAGCATATGCGGCTTCGCCCTCCCGAACGCCCTACTCTCCCCAGCCGGACTCCATCTCCAGGCCCTCTCCCTTCCTCTGAGGTTAGGGGGGTGGGGCTGAAAGTTCCAACCCTCTAATCATGTGGTTGGTTCCCCTGGCAACCAGCCCCCATTCTAAGGTGCTTTCCAAAAGTTACTTCATTAACAAAACAGGGGAATTCCCTGGAGTCCAGTGGTTAGGACTCCACGCTTCCACTGCAGAGGGCACGGGTTTGATTCCTGGTCAGGGAACTAAGATCCCACATGCCATGCAGCAGAAAAAAAAAAAAAAATTAACCAAACAGGACACCTTTATTGCTCTCATCACTTAGGGAACTCTAAGGGTTTTAGGAGCTCTGTGCCAGGAAGAGTGAACTAAGGACAAATATATATTTCTTTTTTTATTTTTTAATATTTATTTATTTATTTTGGCTGCACCGGGTCTTAGTTGCGGCATGCGGGCTTTTAGCTATGGCATGAGAACTTTTAGTTGCAGCATACGTGTGGGATCTAGTTCCCCAACCAGGGATCAAACCCCAGGCCCCTGCATTGGGAGCATGGGGTCTCACCCCTTGCACCACCAGGGAAGTTCCAACAAATGTGTATCTCTTACTATAGATCTCGCTATCACAAGCACTAACATCATGAGTTTGTGGTGGGGATGAGAGAGATGAGGCCAGAGGGCAATAAACAGTTCTCAGCCCACCCCAGGGTTTCTCAGCTACACTGAGGCCAGAGCCTTCTCTGTGATGGGTTGTGCCGTGCACTGTAGGGTGCTGAGCAGCATCCCTGACCACCACCCATGAGATGCCAGGAGCACTGTGTCTCCAGTTTGATACCCCATAATGTCTCCAGATGTTGCCAAACATCCTCTGGGGGCAGGCTCACCCCTGGTTGAGAACTCCTGGTCTATAGTAAGCTCTGTTTTTTTAAAAAAAAAAAAATGTATTTATTTAGGCTGCACCAGGTCTTAGTTTGGCACACAGCATCTTCGTTGCAGCATGTGGACTCTCAGTTGTGGCATGCGGACTTCTTAGTTGTGGCACATAGACTTCTTAGTTGCGGCATGCATGCAGGATATAGTTCCCCAACCAGGGATAGAACCCCAAGCCCCTTGCATTGGGAGTGTGGAGTCTTACCCACTGGACCACCAGGAAAGTCCCTATAGTAAGCTCTTAATAGTGATTAACTGGTACCACGGCTATTGTCATCACTCACATCTTCTTCACACACATCCATCTTCATATACATTTGTGCTCACCCACAAGTACTGTTTAAGCATCGTACTGCATGGATTAGTATCCTGTGGCTGACGTAACGACTGGCTGCCAACTAGGTGTCTTAAAACTACAGAAATTTATAAGCACACACTTCTGGAGGCCAGAAGTCCAAAATCAAGGCATGAGCAGGGCTGTGGCTCCCTCCAAAGGCTCTAGGGGAGGATCCTTCCTTGTCTCTTCCAGCTTCTGGTGGCCCCAGGCATTCCTTGGCTTGTGGCCTCATCACTCTATCCTCTGCCACTGTCTCCACATGACCTTTTCCTTTTCTCTCTCTCTGTCCCTGCTCTGTGTGTCTCTTTTAAGGGCATTTGTCAATGGATTTTGAGCCCATCCAGATAATCCAGGAGGACCTCATCTCAAAATCCTTTACTTAATTATATCTGCAAAGACCCTTTCCCAAATAAGGTCCCAGTCACAGTTTCCAGATATTAGGACAGGGACATACCTTTCCTTTTCTTTCTTTTTTTTTTTTTTTTTTTTTGGTGGTGGTGGTGGAGTCACCATTCAACCCTCTATACTACAGCTAGCTGCTGTTTTGTTTTTGCATTCACAGGAATTACAGTGTTGCCTGATGCTCCACTGGTTTATGGAGCACCAGATAACACAGTGTGGGTGCTAGGCATCCAGTAGCATAGCCCCCACTCCTGGCTAGTTATGTTCTTGAGAATCACGGCCCGCTAGACGTTACCATGCCAGCTACACAGGACAGTTTAAACTTTCTAGAAGCCACAATTGAAAAGAATACAAAGAAGGAATTCCCTGGTCCAGTGGTTGGGACTCGGCACTTTCACTGCTGTAGCTCAGGTTCAATCCCTGGTCTGGGAACTAAGATCCCCCAAGCTACATGGCCAGAAAAAAAAGCATACAAAGAAATAGTGAAATTAATTTTAATAATATCTTAAATGTCACCCCTTATTTCTAAAATATTATGTAAATGTGTAATCAACATTTAAAAAGTTATTAATGAGACATTTTACTTTCTTTTTTTTTTTTTTTTAACTGTTTAGCCGCACCGCGCGGCATGTGAGATCTCCGTGCTCTGCAGTCTTTACACACAGGGTCTTAACCGCTGGACCACCAGGGAAGTCCCTACATTCTTTTTTCATGCCCAGTCTCCGAAACCGGTGTGTGTGCTGCACTGGCATCTCAATTTGTATCAGCCATGTGTTGGCAATCTGTATATCTTCTTTGGGGAAATGTCTATTAAGGTCTTCCACCCATTTTTGGATTGGGTTGTTTGTTTTTTTGATATTGAGCTGCTTGTATATTTTGGAGATTAATCCTTTGTCAGTTGCTTCATTTGCAAATATTTTCTCCTATTCTGAGGGTTATATTTCCGTCTTGGTTATGGTTTCCTTTGCTGTACAAAAGCTTTTAATTTTCATTAGGTCCCATTTGTTTATTTTTGTTTTTATTTCCATTTCTCTAGGAGGTGGGTCAAGAAGGATCTTGCTGTGATTTATGTCATAGAGGGTTCTGCCTATGTTTTCCTCTAAGAGTTTGATAGTGTCTGGCCTTACATTTAGGTCTTTAATCCATTTTGTATGTGTTTTTTTAAAATTAATTAATTAATTAATATTTATTTTTGGCTGTGTTGGGACTTCGTTTCTGTGCGAGGGCTTTCTCTAGTTGCGGCAAGCCGGGGCCACTCTTCATCGCGGTGCGCGGGCCTCTCACTATCGCAGCCTCTTTTGTTGCGGAGCACCGGCTCCAGACGTGCAGGCTCAGTAGTTGTGGCTCACGGGCCTAGTTGCTCCGCGGCATGTGGGATCTTCCCAGACCAGGGCTCGAACCCGTGTCCCCTCCATTGGCAGGCAGATTCTCAACCACTGCGCCACCAGGGAAGCCCATTTTGTGTTTATTTTTGGACATGGAAGCAACCTAAGTGTCCATTGACAGATGAATGGATAAGGAAGATGTGGCACATATATATAATGGAATATTACTCAGCCATAAAAAGAAATGAAATTGAGTTATTTGTAGTGAGGTGGATGAACCTAGAGTCTGTCATACAGCGTGAAGCATGTCAGAAAGAGAAAAACAAATACCGTATGCTAACACATATATATGGAATCTAAAAAACAAAAAATGGTTCTGATGAACCTAGGGGCAGGACAGGAATAAAGACGCAGACATAGAGAATGGACTTGAGGATATGGGAAGGAGGAAGGATAAGCTGGGACGAAGTGAGAGAGTAGCACTGACATATATATACTAGTGGGAAACAGCTGTATAGCACAGGGAGATCAGCTCGATGCTTTGTGATGACCTAGAGGGGTGAGCTAGGGAGGGTGGGAAGGAGGCGCAAGAGGGAGGGGATATGGGGATGTGTGTATACATACAGCTGATTCACTTTGTTATACAGCAGAAACTAATACAACATTGTAAAGCAATTATACTCCAATAAAGATGTTAAAAAAAAAGTCACTGTGAGATATATCACCATAGGGAAATAACCAATAATCAAATAAAGAAAATGCATAGAAAAAAAGTTTGTATCAGCCACATTTCAAATGCTCAGTAGCCACATGTGTCCTGTGACTGCCATATGGCAGTGTGCTCATCAGTCTTTATTTTAAATGTTCACATGTTTTCTTATAGTGCCCTTTCTGTATATAAACATACACACAAATAATTAATATTTGAAGTTAAACTGTATTCAATTTGGTATCCTGCCTCTTATAAATATGTTATCATGAGCATTTAATCACACAGGTCATTAAAAATTCTCCCTTAACATTATTTTAACAGCTGGGTAATACTTAGTAATTAATACAACCATTCTCCTATTATTGGGCATGCTGGTCATTTCTATGTTTTGGGGTTTTTTTCCTCACTTTTATAAATAACACTGAAGTGACCATCGGCAAATTATTATCTCTTTGATTGTTTTTAGATTAGATTCCTGGAAATTATACCTTGCCTTTTGTGTTTGGCAATATGTCTTGAAGATTATTTCATACAGAATTGCCTTGGGCATGTTAACAGCTACAAAGTAGCTCCTACTTTACTTATCCAACCCCCCCACCTCACCATGGATGGCTAATTAGGTTGTTTCCAGTATTTGATTGTAATGACAAAGCTGCAATGAACATCTTTGCATATTTCACATTCTTGCATGTTTCACTTGGCACACCTTTCTGTAAGAGTGACTGTAGGGTCTATTCCAGCAGCAAGATGTCAGAAAGCACGTAACCCCCAGCAGAGCTCTGTGAGGATGCTGCCCTCTTCTTGGCCTGGGGGGACTTCCAGTCCCATGACCAGACCCTATTAAGCCTTGCCCATCTGTCTGCAGCTGGTGGTGCATGTGGGGGTGTCAGGCATGGCGACCACAGTCACGCTGGAGAAGTGCGGGCACAACAAGGGCTACAAGGGGCTGGACAACTGCCGATTCTGCCCTGGCTCCCAGTGCTGTGTGGAGGATGGGCCTGAAAGCATTGACTCCATCATTGACATGGACGCTGTATGTAAGAGGGTTACTACACTGGGCCTGGATGTGTCAGTGACCATCTCACAAGATGCCGGCAGGTAAGGCACCATGGGGCCCTATGGTGTAGGTGTGAGTAGGGGTTTCCCTCCTACATCAGCCCAGGCTGGGTGTTGAACAAGCCAAGTGTGTTTCACTTTAGCCTCTTTGGGCCAAGTGCTCACTTTTTCTTTTTCACTTTTGAAAACATAATTGATTTACCACCTGATTAAAGCATGGGATAATTTTTTTTAAGCATGGGATATTTTAACAGTATTATACATGATATTTTTACATAGAATTTCACAGTATATAAACCTCACCATCCATGAGGCACAGAGTTAAGTATATATGTGTATGTGTGTGTATATATATATAAAACAGGTTCCACGGATTCTGCTTCTGGAACTCGTGTGTGGATTGTGGACCCTGGCATCTCCCACCTGCATGTTGCTCCGGCCGTCTCCCTGCTGTTCCTCCGGCCACCTCTACCCCAACCCTGACAGTCCTTCTCTCCTAAGCAGTCAGTTTCTATATTAGTTTCTTGTGGCTGCTATATATAACAAATTACCATGTTGGTGGCTTAGGACAACAAACATTTATTCTCTCCCAGGTCTGGAGACTAAAAGTCCAAAGTCAAGGTGTCAGCAGGGTTGGCTCCTTCTGGAGGTTCTGAGGGAGAATCTGTTCCATGCCTCTCTGGCTTATGGGGGCTGCTGACAACGCTGAGTGTTCCGCGCCTTGAGATGCTTTTTCCAATCTCCGCCTTCACCTCCCCATGGCCTTCTTTTATTTTTTTTAAGATTTTTTTGATGTGGACCATTTTTAAAGTCTTTATTGAATTTGTTACAATATTGCTTCTGTTTTTTTATATATATATAAATTTATTTATTTATTTTTGGCTGCGTTGGGTCTTCGTTGCTACACACGGGCTTTCTGTAGTTGCAGCAAGTGGGGGCTACTCTTCCTTGCGGTGTGCAAGCTTCTCATTGCAGTGGCTTCTCTTGCTGCGGAGCTTGGGCTCTAAGAGCGCGGGCTTCAGTAGTTGTGGCGTGTGGGCTCAGTAGCTGTGGCTTGCAGGCTATAGAGCGCAGGCTTAGTAGTTGTGGCACACGGGCTTAGTTGCTCTGCGGCATGTGGGATCTTCCTGGGCCAGGGATCAAACCCGTTTTTCCCTGCATTGGCAGGCGGATTCTTAACCACTGCGCCACCAGGGAAGTCCCTGCTTCTGTTTTATGTTTCAGTTTTTTGGCTGCGAGGCACATGGGATCTTAGCTCCTCGACCTGGGAGCGAACCCACACTCCCGGCATTGGAAGGCAAACTCTTAACCAGAGTACAGCCAGGGAAGTCCCCATGTGGCCTTCTTACAAGGACACCAATCATTGGATTTAGGACCTACCCTAAACCACTATGACCTCATCTTAACTAATTACATCTGCAAAAACCCTATCTCCAAATCAGGTCACATTTTGAGGTTCTAGATGAACACAGATTTGGGACAGAAACTATTCAGCCTATTAGAGGGTCTATTAATTTAAGTCCGATGATGTCCCTAACTTGCTTAATTCTTCCTACAGCTTCCACTGCACCTCGAATGAAATCCCAACTCTCCACCATGCACAGATTCTGTGTGGTCTGGCCCCTGCCCACCTCTCCACCCTCCTCTGCCTTCACTCTCGCCTCACCACTGCCTTCCAGACCCACAAACCAGCCTCCTCCTGTTCCTCAAACACACCAAGCTCACTCTAGCATCAGGGCCTTTGCACATGCTAAGACCTCTGCCCAGAGCTCACCTCCCTCTGATAATACCTCTTTCAGGTTTTAACTCCAAAACGTTGCCCCTTTGGGAAGGACTCCCCAGCCTCCCAGACCTCTTTGTTCTATGCCCTCTCAACACCAGATACCTTGATTTCTCAACACTTTGTACACCTCTCCAGTCCAAAGGCAGCAGGTGGCAAATTTGTTGACAGAATGACGAAGTGGCTGAATTTACCATCAGTCTTTTTTTTAAATTATCATTATTTTAAAGATTTATTTATTATTTATTTAATTTATTTTTGGCTGCGTCAGGTCTTAATTGCAGCATGCGAGGTCTTCCCTGTGGCATGTGGGATCTTTTGTTGTCGCATGCGGGCTCTTCTGATTGTGATGCGTGGGCTTCTCTCTAGCTGTGGCGTGCAGGTTTTTTCTCTTCTCTAGTTGTGGCGCGCGGGCTCCAGGGCACGTGGGCTCTGTAGTTTGTGGCACTTGGGCTCTTTAGTTGAGGCTTCTGAGCTCAGTGGTTGTGGCGTGCAGGCCCAGTTGCCCCATGGCATGTGGGATCCCAGTTCCCTGACCAGTGAACCCATGTTCCCCTCATTGTAAGGCACACTCATTACCACTGGACCACCAGGGAAGTCCCTTAATTATTTTTTTATTAAAGTATAGTTGATGTACAATAGTATACGTTACAGATGTACAATACAGTGATTCACAGTTTTTAAAAGTTACACTCCTGGGCTTCCCTGGTGGCGCAGTGGTTAAGAATCCGCCTGCCAATGCAGGGGACACAGGTTCGAGCCCTGGTCCGGGAAAATCCCACATGCCGTGGAGCAACTAAGCCCGTACGCCACAACTACTGAGCCTGCGCTCTAGAGCCTGCGAGCCACAACTACTGAGCCCATGTGCCACAAATACTGAAGCCCGCATGCCTAGAGCCCATGCTCCGCAACAAGAGAAGCCACCACAATGAGAAGCCCGCTCAAGGAAGAGTAGCCCCCGCTTGCCGCAGCTAGAGAAAGCCTGCACACAGCAACGAAGACCCAAGCAGCCAAAAAGAAATAAATAAATTTATTTTTAAAAAGTTATACTCCATTTATAGTTATTATAAAATATTGGCTATATTCCCTGTGTTGTACAATCTATCCTTGTAGCTTATTTTATACCAAATAGTTTGTACCTCTTAATCCCCTTCTCCTATCTTGCCCCTTCCCCCTCCCACCAGTCTTTTTTTTTTTTTAATTTTATTTATTTTGGCTGCATTGTGTCTTCGTTTCTGCACGCGGGCTTTCTCCAGTTGCAGCGATCGAGGGCTACTCTTTACTTTGGTGTGCAGGCTTCTCATTGCGGTGGCTTCTCTTGTTGTGGAGCACGGGCTGCAGGCGCACGGGCTTCAGTATTTGTGGCACGCGGGCTCAGTCTTTTTTTTAAAGTAATTTTTTTTTTGTTTTTGGCTGCGCCACACAGCTTGCAGGATCTCAGTTCCCTGACCAGGGATTGAACCCGGGTCCTGTCGGTGAAAGCCCGGAACCCTAACCACTAGGCCACTAGGGAACTCCCATAAAATTGATTTTAAGTTACTCAGATAATTCTAGAGTATATTCTCATACTTTCCTGTTGTGAAAGATTCTCTTGCCCTCTCTCCTCCCCCCCGCCCCTCCCCACCCCAGGGATCCCTCAGTTAAATCAGAGACTTAAATTATGACCCTTCCTGCTCACCCACACGTATGTTTCCATACATATGTAGGACATCTGGCGTACTACTTTCGAATTTTGTCCTGTTTCACTTTGCTTTCACGTGGGTGGGGTTACGTGGTGTGCATTTTCATGAGAGTTCCCTTCCTTGGTTTCACTTGTGGGCATGTGACATGGGTCTTAGTAAGTTCTGTCTTCCTGTGGCTCCACTGCCTGCCTTGTAAACAGCTGCATAGTATTCCACTGTGCAGATGAACCAGAGTTTATTAAGCCACTCCTCTGTCAGTGGACACTTAGGTGGTGTTTTAGTCTGCTATAATCAAAAAAACCCCAGACTGGGCAGCGTATAAACAACAGAAAGTTACTGCTCACAGCTCTGGAGGCAAGGAAATCCAGGATCCAGGCACCAGCATGGTGGTGTTCTGATAAAGGCCTTCCTATAGGTTGTAGACTGCCGACTTCTGGCCATGTCCTCACAGGGTGGGAGGGGATTTGGGGGGACATTCAGATCCTAGCATGTTGCTTCCTGTTTTTCTGCTTTTACACATCATGCTGCAGCAGATACCTTGTTCATCTTTCTCGTGCTCGTGTGCAGATGGCTCCTGAGATAGTCTAAAAACTCAAAACATCAGGTCATAAAGTCTGCGCATTTGTAATTTTTAAAATATTATTATTATTATTATTATTATTATTTTTGCGTTACGCGGGCCTCTCACTGTTGTGGCCCCTCCCGTTGCGGAGCGCAGGCTCAGCGGCCATGGCTCACGGGCCCAGCCGCTCCGCGGCATGTGGGATCTTCCCGGACCGGGGCACGAACCCGCGTCCCCTGCATCGGCAGGCGGACTCTCAACCACTGCGCCACCAGGGAAGCCCAAAAATTATTTTTAAAAAATTTTATTGCAGTATAGTTCATTCACAATGTTGTGTTAATTTCTGCTGTACAGCAAAGTGATTGAGATATATATATATATTCTGTTTCATATTCTTTTCCATTAAGGTTTATCACAAAATATTGAATATTGCACATTTGTAATTTTTCTGGCCTGCCAGATTGCCCTCCCCTGGGGCAGTTTGTATCCCAACCAGCAGCATCTCACACTGCTTGCTTCCCCACATATACCCCAGCACTTGGAGCTATTTATTTATTTGCTGGCCTGGGGAGGGAGAAGCAATATTCCACCTTGTAGATGACTGGTGAGGTTGGGGCGGGGG